TCTGCTCCGGGCCCCAGTGCGGCGGCGGCGGCTCGGACCGAAAGACAGAGGTCGGCCGACAGGGCGAGGATGCTCTGGAACGCCTCGGCGGCGTGCTTGTCGTGCTGGAGCGCAGGCGGGGCGCCCTCGGCACTCCACCGGGCGCTGAACGTGACGGCGAGGATCTCGGCGAGGATGTCGTCGACGCTCGTCGTGACGAGCTGGTCCTGCTCGTGCGCGTCGCCGGCGCCGGCGCCCGTCGCGAGCTCGGCGACCTGCCGCTCGAGCTCGTTGGGCGGCATCGGGAGGCCCGCCACCTCGTTCTCGACGTGGTACCGGATGATCTTGAGCGCCGCCGTCTCGCCGAAGCAGTCGAGGCGACCCTGCGGGACCGTGCGCTTGAGGACGTCGCACAGGGTCGCAAACACGGGGCCGTCGTCAAACTGGAGGAGCCAGCTCGCCGTCGAGACAAAGTCGGCCTTGCGCGCTTCTCGGAGCGTCGGGAACCCGCATGCGCGGTACGGCAGGTTGTGGACGACGTCGGTCCCGGGCTGGTTCTGCGCCTGCCGCACCTCGCTCCAGACGAGGTAGCGCGCGTAGACGAGGTACAGGTCGGCGAGCGACTCGAACCCGAGCCGGGTCGCGACGCCCTCGAGCGTGGCGATGACGATGGGCGCGAGGTCGGGGCTGAGGGCGCACGTGCGGATGAGGAGCTGGTACGGCGCGCGACGGCGGTTGGCGGCCACGATGACGAGGTTGGCGTTGCACAGGATCTGGGTGAGCATGCGCTCGCTCTCCGAGATGTTGCTCGACATGTTGTCGCGCACGTCCTGGAACAGGATGTCCTCGTTCATGCCGAGCTCGGCCGACAGGTTGAACAGGTTGGCCGTCGACGTCGTCGCGCGGAACCGCACGCGAAAGTCGCCGTCGTCGAGCATGAACGGGATGATGGCCGTCGGCGCGATGACGCGCCCGTCCTCGGACCGAGGCGCTCGGCCCTCGAGGTCCCAGTACTGCATCGACCGGTCGAGCTCGAGGTACGTGTCGAGGAAGGCCGTGAACTGGGTTGCGGGCTCGACGTCAGGCTCGAGACGAGGCCACAAGAGAGAGAGAGAGAGAGAGGGAAAGAGGGGACGAGGGAGCGCACCTGAAGCCGGACGCGCCACGCCGCAAAGACCTTCTTGCGCAGCCCGTTGACGAACCACGAGCACAGCGTCCTCGCGTCGCGCGCAAAGTCCTCCTTGAGCTCGTCGTCGGCGACGACCCAGTGCTGCGCCGTGCACTCGAGGAAGCGCAGGACGATGCGCGCGAAGCGCTCGTCGCGGGCGTAGCGGTAGTCGGGCAGGAGCGTCTCGCCGAGGTGCTGCAGGACGGCCTCGGCCTGCGCGAGCCCGAACGTGGCGAGCCCGGCGTGCGCGGCGGCGAACGCCTCCTCGGCGATGACGATCGACTCCTCGCCGTCGGCGGCGATGAGGGCGTCGACGACCTCCTGCAGGCGGACGGGACGCGACGTGCCCGACGCGGCCATCTCGGCGGAGATGAAGCCCTTGATGCACATGGCGATGGTCGCCGCGCCCGCACGTCCCTCGCCCGCCGTCCCGCTCCCACCGACCGTGGCGCCCGCCCCGCTCGCCTGCGTCGCCCGCCCGCTGCTCCCGCCGCCGCCGCCGCCGCCGCTGCTGCGCGACTCGCCAAAGTCGTCGGCGCGCTGCGTCTGCTCGAGCTCGCGGATGCGCTGGCTCGCCTGCGTCGCCGCCGGCGCCTGCGTGAGCGCGAACGTGGCGGCCGGCGTCTCGACCGACGCCGGCGGCGAGCCGCCGGCGTCGGCGCAGAGGAGGAAGCGCAGGGCGGCGAGGACCTCGTCGAGCGCTCGACGGGCGTCGTCGTTCTTCCAGATCGAGCGCAGGAGCTCCATCTCGGGCGAGTCGAGGTCGAGCGCGGTCGAGTCGCGCTCGCGGACGGGGACGAGGTGGCGAGGGACGCCCGAGGCGATGCCGGGATCGAGGAGGACCGGGTACTCGACGGCAGGGCGGCGCGGGAAGGTGACAAGGATGGGGCTGAGGGCGCCGACGAGGAGGGCACGCTCGGCCGGCTGCCACTTGTTGAGCGTCAGGGTCGGGGCGAGGTTGGTGAGGAGGTCGCGAGCGGGGCCGAGCGCGGACCTGGTCGACGGGACGCGGTGCATCGTGTAGACGCCCTCGACGACAAAGGCGAGGACCGCCAGGTCGAGACAGCGGCGCACCTGGGCGACGGGCATCGTCGTCCACGACGAGGACGAGTCGCCGACGCCGTCGAGCAGGCCCTTGAGCGTGCGGACGAGCCACCCGCTGACCTTTCTCGGCGTCGCCTGCTCGAGGTCGGCCGGCGCGCCGCCGCTCGCGTCGTAGCTGCTCGGCGACCTCCACGACGGCGGCGGCGTCGCTGCGGCGCCGCGCTCGGACCCGCTGGCGCGGTCGTACGCCGGCACGCGCGCCTCGAGGTAGTCGCGGATGCGGGCCGTCTCGCCGAGCTCGAGCGCCATGCTCGCGACGGCGCAGTCGGGCACGACCGACTCGTCGTGTGCGACGGCCGGGACCGACGAGATGCCCGACAGGCGCGCGACGAGCGACACGAGGCCGGCGACCGAGAGCGGGTCGGCGTGCGGACGGCTGTGGCCGAACGAGTGGCTGCGCGCGACGCCGTCGAGGGCCGACCACGAGTTGGTAAGCCACGCGAGGACCTTGTCGGCGAGGTGCAGGCGGACGAGGCGTGCGTCGCTCGCGGCGATGGCGAGCGTCCACTCGTAGAACAGGCACACGGCGTCGGACGGGAAGCTGGCGCCGCCCTGGACGTCGACGTCTCGCGCAAACGCCTCGATCGAGTCGGCGAGCGCGGCCGGGCCGACGCGGCCGTGCGCGAGGAGGACGTTGCCGACGTGCGCGGCCGAGCGGCACACCTCGGGCGTCGACAGCTTGCGCTGCACGAGGAGCCACAGCGGGTCCCACGGCGACGACGACGACGACGACGTCTTGTCCCGCTTGCGGCGCGCCGGCGTCGACCCAGAGGCGTGCTCGAGGGGCAGGCCGGCGTGCGCGACGGCGGCGACGGCGACGAACGCCCAGCGCTCGACGTTGGGGTCCGAGTGCGGGAGGAGGTGCATGAGGGCGGCGTAGATGCGCTGGCACGCCTCGGGGTCGAGCGCCGCCCAGTGTCGGTCGACGAGGAACAGGATGACCTGGAGGCGGAGGATGACGGCCGAGGCGGACACGGTCGAGTCGGACAGCGAGTCGAGCAGGACCGAGAGCGGGTCCTCGACCTGTAGAGGTGATGCGCGAGGTGTCAGTACGTGCGAAGGAACGAACGAAAGTGAACGAGCGAGACGCACCTTCCTCCTTTTGCCCCTCTTGGTCGGCGACATCATCTCCTCGACCGCGTCCTGCGCCCCGACCGCGTCCTCGACCTCGTAGATGCGCGCGAGCGCATCGGCGCCGAGCTCGACGACGCTCCACGCGACGGCGTGCTTGTCGTCGAACCCGGTCCCGAGCCGGAACGTCTGCGCGCCGTACGCCCTCGCGCCGCCGCCGCCGCCGCGTGGGTCGCCCTTGCGCCCGGACACCGAGTCGAGACCGAGGCGCAGCGCGTCGAGGTCGAGGGCGTAGGCGTCGCGCCAGCGGATCGACGGCTCGGCGAGGACGGCCTCGTAGAGCTCCTTTGCGCGCGCGACGGCGGCGAGGTCGCCGTTGAGGCCCGCGCCGTTGGCGCTCGCGCCGCCGTCGGTCGAGCTACGCAAGGGCGGCGGGACGACGAACGGGAACAGGTACCGAAGGGCCATGACGACCTGCTCCTTGAGCAAGGCGCTCTTGGTCGGCCACAGGGCGACGACGTGGCGCCACAGGTGCGGGCCGATGCGGCGCATCGAGCGCTGGTCGTTGAGGTCGACCTCGGCAAAGACGCGGTTGAGGGCGACGAGGGCCGAGAGGTGGGCCGTCGTCTCGGCCGGGAACAGGCGCAGGAGGCGCAGGAACTTGCGGAAGATGGCCTGGGCGTACACGAGGAACGGCGACGACTTGGACCGGAATACGACCTCGATGACGCCGACGAGCTCGATCTCGGTCGGGTTGGCCGTGCGGCGCGTCTTGGACGGGTGCGCCGCCTCCTCGTCGAGCCCGGCACGAAGAGCGCCGCCGCCGCCGCCGCGAACTGCGCCCTCGTCGTTGTTGTCGTCGTCGTCGTCAATGTCCATCGCCGTGTCGTCGACAAAGTCCTGGCCGATCTTGATCTTGTCGCCGAGGACGGCCGAGAAGCACAGGGTGACGATGTCGGTCCACTGGCGCTCGTCAAGGTGCTCGACGTGGGGCGGGTACGCGAGGACGGTGCGGAGCGCCTTCATGTACGTGAGCGCGTACGGCTGCAGCTTGCCCTGCACGGCGCTCGTCTGCGTCAGGTGCGCGACGATGGCCTTTGCCGTCTTGCGCGACACGACGCGGTGCACTCGTTCGACGACGACACGCACGAGCTGGGCCGCGTCGTCGAGGCGCTTTTCGACGGCGGGGATCGGCTTGGCGACGTACGCGTTGCGCTCCTTGAGGACGATCGAGAACAGGAGCTGGAGCGTGTGGAGCCACGAGTGGTGGCCGCTGTGCGTCACGGCCGCCACGTTGCGCTTCGAGGCGACAAAGTCGTGCAGGTGCGACACGGCCGCCGCGCGCTCCTTGACCTTGTCCGTCTCGAGGTGCGAGAGGATGGTCTCGAACTCGCGCACGGCGGCCGCCATGGGCGGAGGGTCGGGCGAGGGACGAGGACGACGAGGTGGGTGCCGGGTCGAGGCCGTTGGGCTAGCGTCTTGCTCTCGCGGGCTGCGAGCGAGCTGCAGGTGCGGCAGCGTCAGTTACTGGATCGGCAAAGCCCTCATCAGTGGACGTCACTTTGACGAGGGGGAGGAAGGGGATGTGGACACACTTGTAACGACGTAGAGTCGGCGCGAGCTCGTTGACTGTGCTGCTAGATGCTGAAGAGGTGCTCGCGTCAGTTCGCGCTGCGTAGACGGACGAGCCAGAGGGAGTTGGCTCACGCGATGAGGGCGAGGTCTCGGCGGGGCACGGGCGTTGGCGGTGGCCGGTCGACTGAGGGCGCTGCGTGCTTGGAGAGCTCTGCTTGGGCGGCTGCGGCGGCTGCGGCGCTCGTCGGTGAGGCGAGAGGGGTTGCGTCGGCGAGCTCGAGGTGGGGAGAGGCGAGGGCGAGGTCGAGCAGTCGGTCGCACAGCGCGTGCGGCGAAGGTGGGTGGTGTGCGCTGTCGACGGGCCTCGTCTCAGGAGCAGGCGAACTCGCGCGAGGTGCTTGTGCGAGACGGAGCTCCCCTCTCCTCGAAGTCGCGGGCAGCGGCGCCGACTGCGCACGCCGGCTTCTGCGTGCTTTCTCTCTCTTTCTCGAAACCTGGGCCTGCTCTCGTTTCGTCTTGACATCGTGGCAGGCGAGACTGAAAGGGACGGGCTCGCGCTGGAGCACGCCGTCGCCGTGCTAAACGACTCGGCTTGCAGCTCGTGCCCGCCTCGCCTCCGAGGTCCAGCGCCGGCATCGAGACGAGAACATGCAAGCAGCGACGAAGCAAGCGCCTGGCAGCACATACCTCGCTTGGCCCGAGCCGCCCAGCAGGCTCGAGGGCGCACGAGAGCGAAGCGCCGCCAGCGCAGAGATGCGCCGCGCGCCGGGCCCACCGCTGTTCGCGCTCGCTCGATTGAAGGCGAGGGCATTTGCGCAGCGCTCGAGCGGGAAGCGGGGCGGCTGTAGCTGCGCCTGGGCCCGCGAGAGCAGTACCGAGGGCTGCAGGACGCGACAGGCGCGACAGCAAGCAGAGCGTCCCTCGTTGGGCACGGTCGGTCGGCGAGCACCTCGGTGGCGGGTTGGCCGTCCTTGCGCGGGTTCGGGGGCGAGAGTCGGGCGAGGGCGAGGGGCGAGAGATGGCAAGTGGGGCGAGTCAAGGCGCGAAGGAAGGCGCGACGCCGGCCAACTGAGGTGGTGCGCAGTGGCTATCGTGACATATCGCTGGCCAGCACGGGGCAACCGGAGCGTGTCGGTGTCGGTGGCCGAGGGCGAAGGTCGGATCGAGATGAGGACGGACGTCTCGACGTCTGGCTCGCCTCGACACCACTCAGCCTGCGCAGCTCCCACGGCGCCGCCTTAGCATGGCAGGACTCGTAAAGGCCGCCACGCCCCTCAGGGCAGCCCTCGCCCCGACCGCAGCCCGCCTCTTCTCGTCCTCCTCGAGCCCCGCCGCCGCCGCCGCCGCCGCACCTCCGACCCCGCCGCCAGCCGCAACCAGCGCACCTTCTGGCCCGGCGAGCTCGTCCTCGGCACCGTCCCCGCCAGGCTCGACCCCGCCCACGCCCTCGGGCCCGCTCGCCCAGACCAAGGCGAGCCGGTTCACCCTCGACCCCTCGTCGACCCCGACAAAGTTCCCGCACGGCTTCCTCGCGACGGGCCTCCACTGCGGCGTCAAGAAGGACCGCGCAAAGCTCGACCTCGCCGTCATCATCTCGGACCGCCCGTGCTCTGCGGCCGGCACCTTTACCCGCAACGCGTTCGTCGCCGCGCCCGTCGTCGTCTCACAGGACGTCCTCGCGCGGGGCAAAGGCGTCGCGCGCGGGCTCGTCGTCAACAGCGGGTGCGCCAACGCCGTGACGGGCACCCAGGGGCTCGCCGACGCGCGCGCCATGTCGGACCAGCTCGACTCGTTCCTGTCGGCCTCGTCGTCGAGCAGCGGCACGGGCACGCTCGTCATGAGCACGGGCGTCATCGGCCAGCTGTTGCCCATCAACAAGATCCTCCAGGGCATCGAGGCGAGCACGGCGACGCTCGCGAGCAACTTTAACGCGTGGAGCGACTGCGCGCGCGCGTTTATGACGACCGACACGTTCCCCAAGCTGCGCACGCGCACGTTCCAGCTCGCCGGCAAGGAGGTCCGCATGGTCGGCATCGACAAGGGCGCCGGCATGATCCACCCCAACATGGGCCCGCCCGCCGCCGCCGCCGCCGCCGCACCTCGCCCCGCCGGCCCGCCGCACGCCACCATGCTCGGCGTCATCGCGACCGACGCCGCCGTCGAGCCCGCGTCGCTCCAGAGCGCCCTCACGTACGCCGTCGACCGCTCGTTCAACTCGATCTCGGTCGACGGCGACATGAGCACCAACGACACGGTCGTCGCGCTCGCAAACGGCGCGAGCGGCACGAGCGAGATCTCGGAGCACAAGACGCCCGACGACTACGTCAAGTTCCGCGACGAGTTGACGTCGTTCGCGGCCGAGCTCGCCCAGCTCGTCGTGCGCGACGGCGAGGGCGCCGAGAAGTTTGTCAAGGTGACGGTGCAGGTGCGCCCCGACCCTCTCCCTCTCTCTCTCTCTTTCCCTCCCTTGCGCTCCTATCGCTCCATTCTGTGGCCCGAGATCGCCTGAGCTGACTCGAAGCTCGTCCTGCAGGGTGCGCCGACGTACGAGGGCGCGCACAAGGTCGCCTCGGTCGTCTCGACCTCGTCGCTCGTCAAGTGCGCCCTCCACGGCGAGGACGCCAATTGGGGCCGCATCCTGTGCGCCGTCGGCTACTCGCAGCCGCCGTTCGACATCGACCCGACCAAGGTCTCGGTGTCGTTCCTCGCCCAGGACGGCTCGGCCCCGCTCCGGCTCCTCGTCAACGGCGAGCCCGAGCAGGTCGACGAGCACCGCGCGAGCGAGCTCCTCGCCGCTGAGGACATCGAGATCGTCATCGAGCTTGGCCTCGGCGACGAGACGGCCACCTACTGGACCTGCGACCTGTCGCACGAGTACATCTCGATCAACGCCGGTCCGTCCCTCTTCCTCGCCCTCTCTCTCACTCGACGGTGCGCCTGACCTCGCCTCCCGCACGCACAGACTACCGTTCCTGAGCGTCTCGCCCTCCCGCACACACCCTCTCTCGCCACCCCTCGCCTGAAAAGGTCGCCCTTTCGCCCCCCGCCGACCCCTTCTCTCCTCCTCTTTTCCCTCGCCCCGGCAGTGCCAGCATCCTCTCCCTTTCGTCATCGCTGTAGTAGTGCCCCCCTTGGTAATCCGTCTCGCACCCTCGGCGCCCGGCTCCCTCGTCCAAGGTCCGGCTCCGTCGCTCGCGTTCGCTGTTTCAGGCTGCACAACGCTCTCGGCTCTCTCTTGCTCTCGCTCGCGGGTCGATCAACGCTCGATCCAGACGTGTCACTGCTGTACACTAGACAGACCGAGGGACCCGGGCCTGCTCGTCCACTCGTGCTCGTGCTCGCTCCGCTCGGGCCCCTCCTCACCGACCTCGACCGGCCTCCCACCGCTCCTTCGTCGTGCCGTAGATGCGCGCCGCACGGTGCCCGATCGCTCGCTGCACGTGCGGCTGACGGTGCCGGTTCGGCAGGTGGTCGACGGCGAACTCGGCTGCGCGCTGCGGGGACGCGAAACAGCCTCAGGGAAAGGCTCGGCTCCTGCTCTGGCTCGACTCGATTCGAGGAGACGCGCCTCGGCTGCTGCCTTCTCGTTGATTGACAGCATCGCCCTGACGATGTCGACGTCGTCGGCGTCGGCGTCGTGCGCTGCGTGATCGTGGCTCGAGCTTGCGCTTCGGGCCGTCGCTCTCGCCTGCGGACGTCGGCGAGGGTCAGTCCCGGCTGCAACGATCTCGACAGACGCCGACGACGCACGAGAGCGTGCTCGAGGAAGTGCGGCACGTGTGGATGCTGCTCCGCCGTGTTCTCCCGCACCGCCTTGACCCTCTTTGCCCAGCTCAGCACCTCGCCGACCTCCTCCCTGCCGAGCGCGTCCAGCCACGCCGCCGTCAGGACGCTCCACTCGGGCGCGTCGACGGCGAGCGTCGCCTCGAGTCGGCGGCGCAGCTTGGTGTAGGGCCGGCGCGAGTCGGCGGGCGGCGGCGAGGTCGTACGAGAAGGCGAGGTCGAGCGGAAGCTGCGCACGCGACGCAGGGACGTGTTGAGCACGTGAAGCATGGCGACGTGCGAGAGCGCGAGAGAGTGGAAGAGAGCAGGGAGGCGAGGAGCGGCGGAAGCGGTGGCCGGGGCGAGCGCGCACGCACCTCGGCGGACGCGCGGACGGCGGCGAGACGATCAGGCCGCGGACAGGGGCACAGACGGCGAGCTCGCAATGTCCGTAGCGTCGATCACACGTGCAGGCGAGCGAGCGAGGCCGAGAGCGAGAGCGGCGAGAAGCGCAAGCAGGGAAGGGAGCGGCTCGAGCGCCGACTCTCTCTCTCGCGATCTCGACGGCGGATTCTCTCTCTCAAGCGCGCACCTCACAGCGAACGTATGCCAATGCAAGCGAGAGAGAGAGAGAGAAGCGAATGACGAACGTTGTCCTTGAGGACGGACGAGAGCTGGCGACCGTCTACAACCGCGCCTGCTGAGGCGGCCTCCGCCACTCGCGCGTGATGCGGTACGCCGCCTTGCTGCCCTGCTCGATCGCGCCGTCGATGAAACTCTTCCACCCATCTGCCCAGTCCTGCGGCAAGTCGGCAACGTCAGAGCGCGCCGAGGGGGGAGGAGGTTGAGGGCAAGAGAGAGCCAGACGCACCGCCGAGGCCCACTCGACGTTGCCGTGCGGCTTCTGCAGCTCCTTGAAGTACTGCGCGATGGCGAGAGAGTGTGTGAGCGACGATGCGCGAGGGAGCTCTCGGAGGGGAGAGGCAGAGGTTGGTCGGGAGAAGAGGAGGAAAGGAGGGGACAGGAGAGAGAGAGACGACGACGCACCGAGGTGTAGTAGCGCGGGCCGTACATGCACCAGTGACCCTGCGCGTACGGGTCGGCGACCCACTCGTGCCAGACCGAGCTCAGGTAGTGCTCGCTCAGCTCGGGGTCGACCGTCGCGAGCCAGCGCTTGATCTTGGTCGGGTCCGAACTCGGCTGGTTCCCGACCGAGTTGCCGCCGCCGAACGCGACGACGGCGACCGTGCCGTCCTTGAGCGTCTGGTCGCCAAACGCGGCGGCGAGCTCGACCGGGTCGGACGGGTCCTCGTTCCAGGCGTTCCAGACGCCCGAGCGCAGCTGCGGCGCGGCAACGCGCGAGTGGATCTTGTGCCCTTGGCCGACGTGCTGCTTCGAGAAGGCCTCCTGGCGCAGCGGTGAAAGTGGCGGGTCAAACTGGGCGTGCGTCGGAGCGGACGGGGAGCGGCGAGGCCGAGGACGAGGGGGACAGGGGGACAGGCGAGTCAGTTCAGCGGCACGCTCTGAGGCTCAGAGAGAGAGAGAGATTTGGACGCACCTCGACCTTGGCGGCGACGTTGCTCGGCAGCGTGCTGACGACCTTGTTCGCCTTGAACGAGCCCTTGTCCGTGACGACCTCGACCGAGCCGTGGCGGTCGACGACCTTGCGGACGACCGTCTCGAGCGAGTAGGCGAGGTTGCCCGTCTCGAGCGCCTCGTCGAAGAAGCACTTGGCGAAGTGCGACTGGCCGTCGGCAAACTGCTATTTAAGTTGCTGATTTATATTAATTTTATTGTTCAAACATGAGAGCTTAGTACGTGAAACATGAGAGCTTAGTACGTTGTCGGCGAGGAGCGCGAACGAGTTCTCGCCGTGACGTGCCCACTTGATGAGCTCGAGCATCTGCGAGGCGGACGCGGAGCATCAGCTGGCTAGCTCGACGGCTCGCGACGAGAGGGATGGACCGACCGACGCGTTCTCGGGACGGGCGCCCCAGCTCAGGACGAACCTGTGCGGAGGAGGGGATCGTCAGGACGACCGGGAATGCGAGACGAGACGAGGAGGCAAAGAGAAGGAGACGCACCACGGAACGAGGAAAGCGAGCTCGCGCTCAGAGCAGATGTTCTTGGCGCGCACCTCGGCGATGCGGTCGGCGATGCTCATGCGGTCGTACTTGTCGACGAGTCTGTCGTCGACGAATTGACCCGCGACGACCTGCGTCGGGACGGCGATGACGGTCGCGCCTCCTTGACCGTCGACGTCGACGAAGCGCTTGAACGCGTCCTCGCACATCTGGAAGTTTGGCACAAAGGGCTCTTGCAGAACTTTGCCTGCGGAAACATGGACGGCGTCAGCGAGCCATCGTTGACGGCGTCGACGAGGGCGAGGAGAGAGAGAGAGAGAGAGGAAGGGTGCGGCGCACCGTTAAACGTCGTCTTGTTGAACGCGTAGTCGGCGAACTCGGCGTTGGGTGTGACCTTGAGGCGACGCTCGAGGCCGTACCGGGTCTGCTCAAAAGGCGGGATCAGCGAGGGCGGGAGGACGAGCGAGGAGAAGGTGGGGACGCACAATCTCCCTCCAGACGAAGCCCATCTGCCAGTGGATCCACGTGCCGCCCATCTCGTACTTCTCCTGTGCGAGGGAGACGAGTCAGGATGGCCTCGAAGGAAGAGAGGGGCGCGGGACGCACCCCGTCGACCTGCGAGGTCCAGGTGCGGCCGCCGATACGGTCGCGCGCGTCGAGGAGCAGGACCTTTTGCCCGGCGAGCGTGAGATCGCGTGCGGCGGTGAGGCCGGCGTAGCCAGCGCCGATCACGATCGTGTCGAACGGCCTTGCCGACGAGGCGGAGGCGAACGAGGTGAGCGGGCGAATGGCTCCCTCGGTGGCGAGGCCCGGATGAAGCCCTGCATCGGGCGAGTAGATGAAGCCCTCCTTGCTGGTCGGGAAGGTGGCCATGGCGGACAGGGGGCGAGGCGTGGAACGAGGTGGGACGAGGGCGACGAGTTGGACGAGGAGGAGCGCGAGGCGCCGGGTGAGGGCGGGCGAACGTGGCTAGGGCGAGGCGTGCAGGCGACGGTGTCGGTGAAGAGCAGGGGCAAGCGCGCGCAGGCTCATGGCGAGGAGCAGACGCGAGAGAGGCTATCAGCATTGCGCCGCACATCTGCCTCAAGCTCCGCTCTCTGCCTCGAGCAGCCGCACGCGCTTCGCGAAGCGCCCGCAGGCTATCGGCGCTTTCTCTGGTTGTGCGCCGAGCAGCTGGCGCCGTCGACAGCTGCCACGGCAGGGTCCGTGCACGCAGCCTCAAGCGCGACGATTCCTGCTTCTCTCGCTCTCGCTCTCGCAGCCATGGACCCTGCCAAGCGTCGAGCACCGTCCATTACAGAGACAGGGTCAACGGAACATGGCGTGGATGCCCGAGAACCATTCCTGCGACGCCGCCGCTCCGCCGAGCATCTTGAGCACCCTGAGCCCGAACGCGATCCGGACCTGGCTCTCCTTTGCGCTCGCCGTCGCCGCCTCGAGGATGCCACCATGGCCGCCGGCGAGCGCGCTTGAGCCGGGAAGGAGCTCGCCGGGGGCGATGCTCGTCGGCGGAGCGGCGGCGAGGTTGACGAGGAGGCGCTGCGAGGTCGTGATCTGGCGCCGAAGACCCTCGAGCGTCTGGTACAGGACCGTGATGGCGAGTGGCGCCACCTGCGTCAACGAGGCGAGCGCTCGAGCGCCCGAGGAGCCTTGCGGAGGCGGCGACGAGCACAGGAGCGCGTCCAGCACGCTCTTGAACGTCGCCGACGAGGCGGACGACGACTCGCCGCGGCCGTTGTCGTACCGCCGCAGCCGCGTAAAGGCGGCGCTCCACGTCGAGGCCGACTCGGCGTTCCACAGGCTGTCACTTGACGGGAGGGGGAGGGCCGAGATGGCCGAGTGCGAGTGCGGGAGGAGGCGGTGCTCGTCGCCGGCGGCACGCCCGACCTCCAGGTCGAGCAGGTAGCAGAGGTAGGCGATTCTGCGGGGCAACAGAACGTCAGGGTCTCGAAAGAGAAAGGGAGAGGCAGAGAGAAAGGCGGTGCGCACCTGACGTGCGTCTCGTGGGCGATCCAGGCTCGCCAGACTCGCTCGAGGTCGTCCGGCGGTAGGTTGAGGTCGAGCGGAACGGCGTGATCGGGCGGGAGCATGTCGAGGAACGTCTGGATGAGGAGGCCGTGGTGCCGCCTCGAGTACTCGCGCTCGGCCTGGCTGTCCGAGAAGCACCCGACGAGCTGGTACAGGAGGAGGGTCTGGGCGGCGGCGAGGCGCTCGTCCTCGTGCAGGACGACGTGCGTCAACTCGGCGGCGGCGAACTCGCGCTTGATGTGCGACATCTCGTTGTGGAACGGCTTGGACGACTCGAACAGGCCGGCGCCGACGACCGAGAGCGCAAACGCGAGAGGCGGAGCGATCGCCTTGAGGTCGAGGCTTGGACGATGCTGCAGAAAGAAGGACGTCAGGGTACGACGAGGCATGGGGGTCTCTGAGAGAGAGAGAGAGAGAGAGAGAGAGGGCGACGCACGAGGAGAGGGAGGACCGGCAGGAGCGAGTCGTACGTCTGGGCGGCGAAGCGCGAGAGCTTGGGCAACGGCGGCACCTCCCACGGGTACAGATAAGCTATGCACATCTTTTGCGCCGGCAGGAAGAACCTTGACGACGTGTTGCGCTCGAGGGCGAAGAGACTGCGGCGCAGGCAGGAGAGTCAGTAAGGCGGCGCCGATCGGTCGCGCGGTCCCTGCCCGGGGAAGCTCTGAGGACGCACTGGTCCTGGCCCGGGTACATGGACGGCTCCCTCCTCTTTGCCGAGCCCGCCACGAGCGCAATCATGCGCTCAAAGTCGCGCTGCTCACCGTCTGCCGCCGAGTCGACCTCGTCGACCTCGAGCCAGTCCTCCTCTGCGCCCGACAGGACCTCGACGGCGAAATTGCGTGGCCGCAACGACGCGAGCGCGAGCACGTCATGCGCTCGGACCGGGCCGACCTGCGGCAGGTCTCGCCGTCGGTCCTCGTCCACGCGGGAGCTGCCAGCTGTGGGCGAGGAGCCCTGGACGCGTCGATCTCGAAAGTCGAGGAGCGGCCTCGTGATGTGCTCGTCGCAGGGATGTGCCGAAGGAGGAGGGCCGGCTGCAGGAGAGAGGACGGCGACGGCGGGCTCGGACGGGTCGGGGTGGTCAAGGTCGGACGGCGGGATGGTCGGCGGTGGCCGAGGCAGGGTGTAGGAGGTGGTAGGGCTTGGGGCGAACATGGCGAAGAGGTCGAGAGTGCTTGTGGGTCGCGAGATGGGCGGGCTGGGCGGGCTCGATGCCGTACTGTCGCGTCGAGTCGGCCGGCTCTGGCCCGGGGTTGAGGCCAGGTTGAGGGGCACAGGGTCGGGAAGGCGGAGCAGGTCGTCGGCGGGATGGTTGATGGTCGAAGTCGACGTCGAGTGCGGATGCAGGCTGTCGGCATCTACAGTACGCGGCGGCGAGGGTCAGCCTGGCGCATCGCCGTTCTGAGGAGGCGAGGGGAGAGATCCGTGGCCTGCTCACGTTGGCTGCGGAAGTGTCGACGGACGTACTCGGAGCGCGAATAGACTGCACCACACTGCGAGAACCTCGTCAGCGACGGTGCGCGGGATTGCGAGAGTGGTCCGCCCCCACGCGCCGAGATCCCGCCTGCCGACTGGCCCTCGACCGCGACGGCTCCTGGGAGCGCACCACCGCGCCCGCATGTCACAGACACCTATCCATCTTGATGAGCCGCGCCTGACTGCGCGCCTTGCTCCAGGCGAGTCGCAGAAGAGGAAAGGAGATGAGGACCGAGATGAGGGGGAGCGAGGACGCACGACGGTGCAGGCGTGCTCTTGCCGACTCGGCGGAACCTTGCGCTTGGCTGCAGAGGTAGACATAGTGGCTGGGCGTGCTCTCGCCCGCCGGCGAGCGTGTGGTGAGGCTCTGTGTGGGGAACCTCGACGCCGCCTCGCCCTCGCCTCGCTCTCGCCTCGCCCTAGGCCTCACTCGCACCTCGCCTGCACCTCGCCTGCACCTCAGCCCCAAAGCTGGTCGCCCTCGCCCGTCTCGACTTGCCTCGCCCACTTGGGCGCCGCCGCCTCTGGACCTCCTTCCTCTCACTCGCTCAACACTCATTCTCTCAGGTGCGCCGCCTCTTCCTCTCCATCCAGTCGTCCGAGAACGGTGGTGGACATGGGTGCAGCTCTCGCAGGCTCTCGAGGCGAGGTGGGGCCGGGGCGGCGAGGAAAGCGGGCGAGGGCGATGAGGACGCCGAGGGCCGTTCCAGACGAACAACAGCTCGAGGGACAGCGGGAGCTCGGCAGCGTGCTCATGGACGGATGGACAGTGGCCCTGTGTGGCAGCGTGAGCTGGCGAGGCGCGGTGGGCGCGGTTCTCCTGGGTGAGGGGACTTGGGGCGTGCGCGCTCGTCTCGCCCTGCTCCCTCTCTCCCTCTCCCCTTCTGCCCTTTCGCTCGCAGCCCTTCATGTACATCAACGGGGACGAGGGTGCGCGGTACAACTGCTCAAGGTGCGTCCCTTCTCTCTCTCTCTCGTCGTCGCCGGTCGTCGTCGTCGTCCGTGAGCCAAGCGGCTCACTCGCGCGTCCTCCTCGTCTCGCAGCTGCACACCTTCGACGGTCTCAGAGGTACGTCCAATCTCTCCTCCCTCCTGCCGAGCGACAGCTGCGCCTAGCTTTCAGCGAGCCGCAGACTGACACCCTCGTCCACAGCCTCTACGCCCGCTCGTCCTCCTCGACTGGACGGCGTCGTGTCCTCAGGTGCGTCGCTCTCGTCCGCTCTCCTCTAGCAGAACGTCACTGACTCTACGTTGGTCGCACCTTCCATGACGCAGCGTCGCCTGCCTCTCGGTGCGTCTCCCTTCCTCCCCGTCCTTGTCTCTCTCGAGGCGTGTGACGGCGCCTCGGCGGACAATGAGCCCCTCGTCACCTTCTGCGACCGGGACTGACACACTCTCCTTGACCTCCTCCCGCCCATCCCTGTACCTCGTTCCGCTTGCAGCCAACTCGGTCGTCTCGGACGCAAAGGTGCGCTCGCGCCTCGCACTCTCTCTCTCGCGTCGCCAGGCTCTCTCTCGAGTCTCGCGCTCGCGCACATCTGTTTCTCGCGTTGCTGTACACCCGTGTCTGCAACTTGTTCATCATCATTCTTGATTGCGCGAGCGAGGCGAGGACGAGGCGAGAGCGAGGCGAAGAGCGAGGCGAGGACGAGGCGAGAGCGAGGCGAAGAGCGAGGTGAGACGAGGCGAGAAGGAGGTGAGAGCGAGGTGAGAGCGAGGCGAAGGATAGGTGTCGTCGAGGTGAGAGCGAGGGCGAGCCGAGGTGAAAGCGAGGTTGAGGCGAGCCAAGGAGAGGCGAGACGAGACGAAACGAAGCGACCTCGAGGGAACCTCAGCGCGACCTGGCCCGTTTTGGTCCTCGTTGAGTATCCGCTCATATCGCCCGCTACGAGTCTCTGGTGGAAGCAGCTCCCCTGAACGAGAGAGCCAAGGCAAGCGGGAGGTCGGCTCGGGCCACTCGCAGACTCGCTCGGGCCTCTCGAACGAAAGCCTCGCGCTCACCGCGAAATGTACATTGCACTACAGTAGGCACACGTCTAGACCTGACACGACTGAGTACTGAACTCGAGCAAATTGGAGCCGCGAGCCGACCCGCTCGCTCAGACGTCGACTTTCGCCGCCTCGTCCTCGGCAGCTGATGCCGAGGGTCGCTGCAGGGCCTCGCCGACCGTGCCGTGAAAGTTGTGGACGCGCTTCTTGCCGCCGATGAACCAGTAGATGCCGGCGAGGACGTGTGCGCCGCCGAAGATCGCGCAGGCGTAGTCTGGGGGAGCGGCGAGTCAGTTCGACGAGTCCGCGCCGCAGAGGAATGCGCGACGACGACGCACTCATGTTGTCGCCAGTGACCGGCACGGCGGTCGGAAGGAAGAGCATGACCGAGATGAAGAGCTCGTACACGATCGCGATGAGGTTGACGACCGGGCCGAGGACAGGTCCGAGCGAGAACGGCGCCTTGGGAAGGGTGCCCGACGGTCGGCCTCGAACGAGCATGAGGATGTTCGGCACGACATACCTGCGCAACATTTCGAGTCAGGAAGTGCTGCACATGGGCGGGAGAGAGCGAGAGGGAGAGAACGACGCACGAGGTGTTGAGGAGGGCGATCGCGAGGACGAGCACGCTGTTGAACAGCGCCGCATTGCCGAGGTAGACGAGGACGATGAGCATCTGGATGGCGGCGCTCAACATCATGGCGCGCACGGGGACGTGACAGGTCGGGCTGATCTTGGACAAGAAGGTCGACGCAGGAATGCCGCCCTCGAGCGAGAAGGCCCAGATGACGCGACCGCTCGTGGCGAGCATGCTGATCGACGCACAGACAGCAGACACCGTGCAGAGCGCAGAGGTGAGGACGACGGCGCCGGCCGTGCTGCCCGTTGCCGACTGGAGGAGGTAGATGAGGGGGAACCTGTCGGGTCAAAAGGCGTCAGCGCCCTCTTCGGCACGCTCGCCGAGCGACCGCCTCGATACATGAGCGGACGCACATCTGCACGGCGACCGTCTCGATGTCCCTGATCGTGAAGACGACGGCGAGGATGATGAGGAGGCCCGTCGGCAGGCTCATGAGGACGCTGCCGATCATGGCCCGGGGAGCGTAGATGGCCGGCTTGTGCATCTCCTCGCTCAGGTGAGCGACGCTGTCGTAGCCCAAGATGCTGAAGGCTGCGGTGACCATGCTGCGACGGGAGGAGCGGCTCGTCAGTGACCGAGTGGATGACAAGGGTGGGAAGAGGTCTGAGCGCACCCGACGACGAACGCGATGCCGTCGCTGGACCAGCCCGTCGCGTTCTCGAGGTGCAGAAGAGCGTACTCGGCTGCGGGTGGGCGCAGAGGGTCGTCAGGAGGAGCGCGTGCGCAGGCTCGAGAGGTGGAGGAACGCACCCGAGTTGAAGTTGCCGGCCGATTTGGCGAAGAGGATGGCGACGATGCAGATGGTCGAGCCGATGGCGAGTGCTGCAGCCGTATTGTTGAGCGCCGAGAGGACTCGCATGCCGTAGACGTTGACGAGGAGCGAGAACAGGAGGACCGCCCAGCTGCCGAGGAGGGTGCGTCAGGGTCGTCTCGCCGTGCAGCCTGGTGCTGCAGCACAAGACTCACAAGACGAGGACGATGTGCCATGCCGCAGGTAGGTAGGCCTCGTGCGTTGCGGCCGCCATGGCCAGTATCTGCTCGGCGAGGAGGTCAGTTTCGGCCGCGCGAGCGAGCAAGAGAAGGGGGGTCGAACGAACCGAGATGGACGAGATGAACGCGGCAGACGAGGTCATGAAGATCCAGGCGACGGCTGTGAGCCACGCGACGTAGTACCGCTGCGAAAAGGGTCGAGGTCACCCGTCTGACGGCGCAGATACGCGAATCTAAGAAGGGAGCTCACGAGGAAGCGCGCACAGCGCTTTGGCGCAAGGTGCTCAGCCCAGGCGATCTGCCCCTCGGCAGTCGGCCAGATCGACACCATCTCGCCGAGCGAGGCGGCGCCGCACAAGCTGCCGACAAACACGACGAGGAACCCCCAGAACATGGCGACGGGGCCGCCTGCCGAGAGGCTGGTCGCGACGCTGCCCGCCCAGGCCGCCGGCGTACTCATGATGACGAAGCAGAAGAGGGCCATCGAGAGCGGCGAGAAGCGCAGCTTGAGGTTGGCGTCGTGTCGAACGGGACCGGCCCCCTCGGCGCCGTCGGGCGCAGCCGAGACCACCCTGGCGAGATGACTTGCGGCGCTCTTGACAGGCATGTCGCAGTCGGCGTGCTTGGAGGAGCTGGACGAGGAGCTCATCGAGAAAGAAGGGGGGGAACTGGACGAGCGCGGCGAGGAGCGAGAGAGGTTGAGGAGGCAACGTCGACCCAGGACGACCGAGAGATTGCGCCGCGACGGAGCGGGGCGTCGAGGCAGAGTCTCGTGATAGCTCGACCAGTGGCAGCGGTGCCTGGCCGGTCGCAGCTCGCCGTCGCGGAGAAATGCAGATAGGAGCCTGAGGCAGGCCGCCGTGGCAGCAGGCGGCGGCGGGGCAGCCTGCACGGCGCGCGTATGCGCCGTGTGCTGCAGCACGATGCCGCAGCGGCAGCGACGCACAGGGCAGGCGCGAGGGTGAGGGAGAGAGGTGAGCCGCTTTGCGAGCGGGCCGCAACCTTCCACCTCTCGCATCTGCCGACTCTGCTCGACTCTGCTCGACCCAGCTGGCCGCTCATGCGCAACCTCCAGCACATCCGCTAGCTCAGCTGCGGCGACTCGCCCGTCGAGACGGTCCACCTGAGCCATCGCTCCGCCCCGAGGCAGCGGCGCTGCGGCCTTTTTGAGCCAGCCTCCTGGCGGCTCGCCGTGCGGTACTTAGCTGCCAGCCCATGGCTACAGATGGGCAAGAGCGCGGCCTCGCCCTCGAGCTGGCCGTCCCGGAGGCTGGTGCGCCGGCTCGGGCCCCGTCACCTGCTTCCCTCCTCTCGACCCTCTCTCGCCGCCTCAGCACTTCCGTCCGCAAGTCGAGCACCATGTCGACGACTCAGACGATCCAGATCACCAAGGCTGTCGCTTCCCAGCCCCTCATCGATGGCTTCCCTGGCGGACAACTGCGTGCGTCCCCTCCGACTGTCGAGCGGCGAGATCGCTGACCAGCCCTTCCCTGCAGTCGATTTTGCCGCCTTTCCCTCGTCGAGTGGTCCCGCAACGGCAGGCGTCTACCGCAACCTCGGGAACGTCCCCCAGTTCGACGTTGCAGGCTATCCCGAGGACGAGGTGAGCAGGCCTCGCTTTCTCTCACTCCCACACTCGTGCCGCGCCGCTCATGTGTCCTCCCTCTCGCAACGCAGTTCAAGTACGTGATCGACGGCGAGATGGCTGTCGTGCAGGGCGGCAAAGAGATGGTCGCGCTCGCGGGCGACCTCGTCTACATTCCGAAAGTGCGTTCACCTGCTCACAACGCTCACCAGGGTCCCTCTGTCGACGCTGACATGCTCTCGACGTGCGCAGGGAGCAGCCTTCACGGTCCTGCCGACGGTGTTCACGGCCGTCTTGTGCGTCGCCGCCTTTCCTTCCCTCTCTCGATGCCCTCGAAAAGGTCGACCTCGACGAGCCGTGCTGAGCGCTGACCCTCTCGCTCGCGCACAGCTTCTCGGCACGAGCACCAGCCTTCACCAAGGCTCCTCGGTTCTCGGCACAGTTGTAGAGCGCCGTTTGCCTGAGCATAGAGCCGATGTTCCCGACCGACGAGCTCGCGGGTTTTCTTCCTTCACCTCTTCCCCGAGAGCGTGCGGCAAAGAGCGAGAGCGAGAGAGAGAGTACACGAGAGAGAGATGCAGCGACTGAACTGCGTCCTCGACGAGGTACACCAACAGCGAGTGCAGGCGAGCGAGGCCGAGAGTGAGAGCGGCGAGAAGCGCAAGCAGGCTCGAGCGCCGGTTCTCTCTCTCGCGCTCTCGGCGGCGGATCTCTCTCTCGAGCGCGCACCTCACAGCGACCGTATGCCAATGCAAGCGAGAGAGAGTGAGAGAGAGAGAGAGAGAGAGAGAGAGAGAGAGGAAAAGGCACAGAACGGAATCTACCAGAGAGGAGGGAGAGAGGGAGGGAGGGAGGGGGAGGAAGGAGCCGCTCAGAGCTCAGTCGGGGCAGCGTAGACCGACTCGGGCTTGACGGTGCCGCCGTTGGCGAGGCGGGCCTCGCCCCACTTGCGCAGGCGGATCGACTCGATCGCGATGAAGCCACTGTGGGCGCGCGCGGAGAGAGAGAGAGAGAGAGAGAGAGCAAGAGAGGCTCAGGTCAGTCCCGTCTCGAATCGGCGAGGAGGAGGGCGAGAGAGGGAGAGGGGGGACGTACGTCGTCGCGCTCGGGTCAAAGTTGGTGACCGAGTCCATCGAGACCTGCTCGGCGTCGTACAGGGCCTCGGTCTCGCTCATGCGGCCCTCGACGATGACGTTGCCCATGATGAGGGCGAGGCGCACCCGGCCGTTGACCGTCTCCTGCGACTTGGCGAGGCACGACTGGACAAACTCGCGCTCGGGCGAGAACCAGTAGCCTGTGGCGCCACGAGAGAAGGGGGAGAGAGGGAGCGAAGGAGCAGAGGGGGAGGACAAGGGAACGAGGTCAGTCCTGCTCACGCAGCCCAACGTCGCCGCCGAGAGAGGGCGCGGAAGAGAGGGAAAGAGACAGGGGACGCACCGTTGTACAGGATCTTGCTGAGCTCGGTCGTGACAAAGCCATCGCGGAGCGCGCGCACGTTGCGGTCGACGACGAGGCCCTCGAGGTCCATGTGGGCCTTGCGGAGGATGGTCGCACCGGGCGACTCGTAGCACCCGCGGCTCTTGACGCCGATGAAGCGGTTCTCGACAATGTCGATGCGGCCGATGCCGTGCTTGCGCGCGAGCGCGTTGAGCGTCAGGAAGATGTCGACCGGGTCCGTCACCTCCTTGCCGGCCTTGGACGGGACGGCGTCGGTGCCGTCCGGGTGGATGACGAGCGAGACGGGGATGCCCTTCTTGAACGTGATCGAGATGCGCTCGGGCGTGGTCGGGCACTTGTCGAGGCCGTTGATGAGCTTCCACATGTCGGCGGGCGGGGTCGTGTCCGGGTCCTCGAGGATGCCGGCCTCGTACGAGATGTGGAACAGGTTCTCGTCGGTCGACCACGGCTTGGCCGCCGTCTGGAAGACCGGGATGCCCTTGTCGGCCGCAAAGTCGAGCAGGGCCTGGCGGCCGGCAAAGCGCTCGTAGAAGACCGGGTCGCGCCACGGGGCGATGACCTTGATGTCGGGCTGGAGGGCGTAGAAGGCGAGCTCGAACCGGACCTGGTCGTTGCCCTTGCCCGTGCAGCCGTGCGACACAAACTGGCAGTCCTCCTCGACGACGACGTCCATCATGGCGCGCGCGATGACGGGGCGCGCGAGCGAGGTGCCGAGGAGGTAGACGCCCTGCCGTGCACATGTGGGTCAGACTGTGTGCGTCCAGAGAGAGAGAGAGAGCGCGCGCGCGTGGGGCGCACCTCGTAGATGCAGTTGGCCTGCACCGAGGGGTAGATCAAGTGCTCGACAAACTCCTTGCGGCAGTCTGCGAGGACAAACTTGGCGGCGCCGATCTTGTTGGCCTTGACACGGGCGGCCTCAAAGTCCTCCTCCTGGCCGACGTCGGCCATGAAGGCGATGACCTCGTAGCCCTCGTCGATGAGCCAGGCGAGGATGCACGACGTGTCGAGCCCGCCCGAGTAGGCGAGGAGGACGCGGCCCTTTGAGCCGGCTGCGGCGGTGGTGGACGACATGACGGACAGGAGGGGAGGGCTGTTGCGGACGAATTGGAGCGGGGGGCAGAGATAGGGAAGTTGGGGGAGAGGGGGAGAGGGCGAGGGCAAGGAGAGGGTAGGGGGGACAGTGTGGAGGGAGATCGGGTCAGGTCGAGTGGGGTAGAGTAGAGTGAGCGTGAGCTGGACTGACCTGGAGCTGAGGTGGTGGAGGGGAGAGAGCCAGAAGAAGTTGGCGGCGGCCGGCTCTCGTCGTCGGTCGGCTCGAGTTGACTCTCGCTCGCTCGACCCCGCATCGTCTGGTCTCCCGCCACCATGCTCGCAACCACAGCGACCCACCTCACCCGCACCACAGCCCGCACCCGCACCCGCCCGGCACCGCACCACCTTCGATCCCTCGGCTGGTTCACCCGCTCCACTGCCGCCTCGGCGCAATCTCCCCCACCGCCAGTCGAGCAGCAGCACCCGCTCGACGAGGACCACGACCTCGTCATCGTCGGCGGTGGTCCCGCAGGACTCACCCTCGCAGCCGCCCTCGGTGAGCCCCCCCTCCCCGCTCCCTCGTCTCATCAGCTCCAACTGACCCCCCTCCCCACCATCGCAGCCTCGAACGAGCACATCGCCGCCACTCACTCCATCACGCTCATCGAGGGCGGGCCCCTCGCCCCGATCCGCGACTGGCACCAACCCCCAGCCACTTACTCGAACCGCGTCAGCTCCATCACGGCCGACAATGCGCGCCTGCTCGCCGACGCCGGCATCTGGCAGCACATCGACCACACGCGCACCCGCCAGCTCGACGAGCTCCAGGTGTGGGACGGCCTGTCGGACGCCCGCATCGAGTTCCAGTCGCCCTTCCTCCCGCCCTCCTCTTCCTCCCCCCCTTCCTCCTCGCCCAACGCGCCCGAGCCCGACGCCTGGGACGCCGCGTACGCCTCTGCGCTCCGCCCACGCCGCGCCCACATGAGCACCATGCTCGAGAACCTCAACCTGCAGCGCGCGGCCCTGCGTCGCATCGACGAGTGCGTGCGAGACCGCGGCGTGAGGGTCGAGCTGCTCGACGGCCGGCGCGTCGAGGGGATCGAGAGGGGCGAGGGCGGCTGGCCCGTCGTCAGTGTTGGAGGGCAGAAGGGGGCGGTGGGCGGCGGCGGCGGCGCAGGGCGCAGGCTGCGCGCGAGGCTCCTCGTGCGTCCTCCTTCCTCTCCCTCTTTCTCTCGCTTTCTCTCCCTCGCCTTCCCTTCTCTCTCCTTGCCCCCTACCACTCCTCAATACGCCCCTCCTCCTCTCGCTCGCGCACCCCTCACTGACGCCCGTCCTCTCGTCCTCTCGTCCGTCCAGATCGGCGCCGACGGCGCCAACTCGCCCGTCAAGACGTTCTCGAACATCGACACGTTCGGGTGGGCCTACGACCGCCAGGGCGTCGTCGCGACCGTCGCCGTCGACCCGAACCCGCTCAACGTCGGTGAGGGCATGAGCACCGGGTGGCAGCGCTTCCTCCCCGAGGGCCCGGTCGCGTTCCTCCCTGTGCGTCCTGCCTGCGCCTCCCTCTCTCTGTGTGAGCGCGCAGACCGAGACTGACTCGTCGGCTCCGGCCGCACCGCACCGCAGCTCTCGGACTCGCACGCGTCGCTCGTGTGGTCGACCACGCCCGAGTACGCCGCCGCCATCAAGTCGCTCCCGCTCGACGTCCTCCCGCACCTCGTCACGGCCGCCTTCACCCTCCCTTACGACACCCTGCGCTCCTTCCTCGACGCCCTCGTCCCGCCCCGCGCCGCACCCGGCGCCCTCGCCGCCCCCGCCGCCCCGGCCCCGACACACGACGCGCCCGCGCTCGTCGCCCAGCTCGAGTCGGCGCTCGTCGCCCACTCGCAGTTGACGTACGACCCCTCGTCGCCCACTGCGCCGCTCCCGCCGCGCATCGTGTCGGTCCAACCCGGCAGCGTCGCGTCGTTCCCGCTGCGCCTGCAGCACACGTCGTCGTACCTCGGCCTCCCGACCCGCACGCCCGACGCGCCCGTCGCACTCGACGCCCGCACGGCCCTCGTCGGCGACGCGGCGCACACGGTGCACCCTCTCGCGGGCCAGGGGCTCAACCTCGGACTCGCCGACGCGTTCTCGCTCGCGTCGCTCGTCGCGCGCCGGGCGGGCCAGGGCGCCGATGTGGGCGCGTACCTCGGGCTCAAGGAGTACCCGCGAGAGAGGTACGTGCGCAACCACGCCGTGTTGAGCGCGTGCGACCACCTCGCGAGTTTGTATGGACGCACGGACCGCGTCAGCGTGTGGGCGAGGAGCACCGGTCTCGAGGTGCTCAACGAGCTCGAGCCGCTCAAGAGGCTCGTCATGGGCCAGGCGGGCGGGGCTGAGGAAGCGGCGGCGGGAGGCGCGGCGGGAGGAGGTGGAGGGAGGGCGGGCAGCGTCGGCGCGGGCGCCTGGGGCGCTGTCGCGAGCGTGCTCGAGGGCGTCGGCAAGGCGAGGGACATGGTCGGCGCTGTCGGCGGCGCCGTCGTCGGGCAGGTCGGCAGGCGCGCGGCAGAGTTTGTCGTCAAGGGCCGGTGAGCGAGCGAGGTAATCGAGCGTGGCGGTTTCTCTCTCTCTCTCTCTCTCTCAAGGATGGATGGCGGGGCTCGTGCGCATGGCTCGTCGCGTGTCCGGCTGTGGGACGCTCTCGCCCTGTGGCTGGCTCAGGGGCTGGTGTCCGCGGACCGTCCGCGCTCGGCGTCGTCGCCGGCGGCTCGCAGACTCGGGCTCCGCTCCGCTCGCCGACTCCCGCTCTTCGCTCTCTTCCTCCTTCTTGCTCTTGCTCGTCGCTATATCTCATCTGCGACCCACGCGCTTTCGTCGTACTCGCCATGGGCAAAGGTCCCCACTCGCTCGCCGTCGCGCTTGCGATCCTGCGCGCCGCCTTCGAGGCCATCCCAGGCGGCGGCGACGCCGGCCTCGCGAATGGCGAGATGGTGTTTGAGCGCATCAACTTTGACGGGCTCGACAAGAAGGCGCAGGAGGCGCTCCTCGACTGGCTCCAAGCGCTCAAGGCGTTTGCGACGGGCCAGGCGAGGGCTGTGCTGCCGCCTCTGCCGGCGGCCTTTCTCAACAAGGTGCGTCTCCTCCCTCCCTTGTGCGTCTTGTCCTCCATAGCGCACCGCCTGACGTTCCTCTCTCGCAGCACGGAGAATGGCGCTCGGCGCTGCAGGGCATCTCGAAAGACGTCGACCAGCTCGTCCGTCCCTTCTTCTTTCTCTCCTCTGCGTCGTCCCCTCGCCCTGACTCGAGCCACCGCGACACAGCGCGCCACGCAAGAGCGCTCGCTCTCCAAGGAGGCGCCGCGACCCGGGCTCGGGCTGCGGCAGGCGTGGATCTACGGGACGACGCCGGAGCGGTGCGCGAGGGAGCGGGCGTGGCAGTAAGGGAGGTTGTGCAGAGTGCAACGCAGGGCTGCGCGAGGTCGACCCTTCCGTGCCGCAGGACGAGAGAAGAGAGGTACCGCGCGCACAAGAGGAGGAGGAGGACAAAGCGCGCTCCGCTCCAACTGCGTCGTCCCGCAGCTTCGCTCATCCTTCCTCCGCTTCGCTCCGCACTCGCTCGTTCTCAACATAGCGCCGCCTCGGCGTCGGTCAGCAGCCTGCTCTCCGGAGGAGCACGCGCTTGCCGTCGTCCGCTGTTCGGACCGGACTCGCCGCGGCGTCGTCGTGGCCCTCGAAATTTCGAGCGAGGCTGGCTCAGCGCTCGAGAGCTTCTTTGCTGCCAGCTCTAGCTGTCCAGCACTCGCCTGCGATGCCCTCTCGACCATCTGTACCGCTCATGGAAAACGCGCACCACCGCTCGGGCCGCTCCCTCCCCCTCCGCACCACCTCGTCGCCGCAAACGCCGACCTCGAGCAACTGGAGCCGCCCGTCGATGCGCCAGTACGCGTCCGTCAACTCCCTTTCGCCGATCCACTCGTCGTGCACGTCCCCGACCCACTCGACGGCATCGTCGTCGGCTCGTCGCGCTTCCGAGCTGCCCGTCGACTACAAGATCCTCGTGCGCCTCCTCCGATGCGTCCTCTCGACCGGCGCAGACGAGTGGGACGCCCTGTCGACCGAGTGGTGGGAATCGCTCGCGGACGAGGATCGGTACGACGCAGGCTCGAGGCAGGGCGAGGTCGTCGACTGGGCGCACAAGATCCAGGGCATGGCCAAGGGCGACTCGTCGGCCAAGCCGCGCATCCCGGCGTTCCTCCTCGAAGCCGCAAGAGGGCAGGTCCGTCCATATTGCTCTCTCTCTCAGTCGCGGTCAAAGCGTCGTGACGCTCACCCTTCCTCTTCGCGCAGGACGCCGGGGTCCGCAAGGGCCGCGCGCAAGACGTCGTTCAGGCCATGCTCTCGGTACACAGCAAAGCGATCGATGCCGTGCGTCCTCATGTCCTGTCGACCTCGTTCGCGCGCGCCGCCGACTGACCTTCCCAAACGCGCGCAGCACGACGCGCAGGATTTCCTCACGTCGCCGCCGCGTTCCTCTCGCGCCCCTCGCCCATACTGCTCGATCGGGCACCGAGCAGCTCGTCTCTACGGGACGACCAAGGGCGCGTGGGAGGCCGAGCAGAACTGGTAGTGGGCCACCTTTCGAGATTTAGACTTTCTAGACGGCGACGGCGTGCTGATGGAGGTATCGTAGATTGGCAGGGCGTACGAGGGGCAAGGGATGATGGCTACACACATACAACCAGCTGAGGAAGAGAGAGAGAGACAACGAAAGGAAGGGGAACGAGGAGGAAGAGAGAGGGGGGGCGACGAGGCGAGTTCTACTTGGTCGCCTTGCGCTGCTGCTTGAGGAGCTGCTTCTTGCGCTCCTGGAGCTTGGTCGTCTCCTCCGAGCGGCGGTCCTGCGAGTACGCCATCTTCTTGTACAGCCGGCGCTGCGAGTTGGTCATCATCGACGCCTTGATCTCGTCCTGCTCGTCGCGCTGCGGCGCGGCCACCTTCTTCTTGGGCGCCGCCTTCTTGGCCTTCTTGGTCTCGGCGGCGAGGTCGGCCTCGAACACGGCCGGCGCGACGCCGCGCGCCTCGGCCTCGAGCTCGGCGGCGTGGCGCAGCTCCTCGTTGCTCGGGTCGGCGGCGGCCGCGAGCAGTGCCGGGCCGGGGCCGGCAGCCGCAGCCGGCGTCGCGACGTCGTCGTCGTCGTCCTGCTTCATCGCCTCGTCCTCGTCGGCCGCCTCGACCGACTCGTCGTCGTCCTCCTCGACGTCGCTGCCCATCTCGACCTCGACGCCGCCAGCCTCGGCCGGGACGTAGCCGCCGCGCTCGCGCACCTCGTCCTCGTCGACGAACGGCGACAGGTGGGGCGGGAGGACGGCGCCGGGCTTGTACGCGTCGGCGGGGAGTAGCGTCTTCTTGTTGACGCAGTCGACGACCCACTGGGGCTGGACGTAGGCGCGCTTGCCCGGGTGCGAGGCGGCCGTCTCGGGGATGACGGGGCGGTCGAGGACGTGGTGCGTGATGCGCGCGTCGTCCTCCTTGTACGGCGAGCCGGCGCCGAGGACCGGGTCCCACCCGACGCGGCCGCCGAACGAGCGGATGACGAACTCGAGCGTCGGGCGCGTCACCTCGCGCGACAGGAAGAAGAAGTACGGGGCGAACAGGTCGGTCGACGCGGTGAGGGACGAGGGCTGGGTCACGCTCGTCGTCGGGTCCGACTCGTCGACGCCGGCCGGGGTCGGGAACACGTCGAGCTCGAGGGCGGCGTCCTGCGCCGCGCCGGCGAGCGTCGCCGCCGCCGAGTCGGCCTGGTCCTCGACGCTCGCCTCGGCCTCGCCGCCCTTGCCGCCGGCCTTCTCGATCTCGGCGATCTGCTTGCGCACGTCCTTGGCGTACACGCGCTTCTTCTCGGGCGCGTCCTCGCCCTCGACCTCGGGCATGCGCTCGACGACGAGGCCCTTGGCGCCGGCCTCCTCGAGGAGGAGGGCGCCGAGGCCGGCACCGTTCTCGTCGAGGACCTCGTCGAGCTTGGGCGGGTAGACGAGGTTGTTGTCGGTGTACAGGCGGTAGAAGACGAAGCCGAGGAGGGTTTGGTACAACTCGAGGAAGGTGAGCATGATGCGGTAGTCGAGGTCGGACGGGATCTGCTGGGTGAACATGTAGGGGACGAGCCACGTGATCGTCTGGCCCATGACCTCGGCCTGGAAGTAGATGCCCTTGATGCTGAGGAACACCTTGCGCAGCGAGTGGGTGCGCATGACGTAGAGCTGCCACTCGGCCGCGAGGCGGTTGCAGTTGGCGATGATGGACGCCGGCACGGTCGAGGTGGCGGGGAGGGCGGCGAACAGGACGATGAGCGACAGGGCGTCGTCGAGGTCACGGAGCGAGTCGACGAACGTCGGGTACCTGGTTGGCGTCGAGAGAGGCGAGTCAGTACACCCGGACGAGCGCAGGGGAGGAGAGGACAAGAAGGGGGACGAACCGCTCCTTGATGATGTGGTCGAGGCGGTAGGTCGGCTTCTGCTCCTGCAGGTTCTTGGCCAGGTGCCACTCGCCGCGACCGACGGCCTTGCTCAGCTTCTTGGCGAACGCCTTGTGCTCGCGGAGCTTGTGGAGGACGGGCTCGTGGAGGAGGTACTGGATGTCCTTGGCGTAGTAGAACGAGGCCGGGGCCGACGAGCCCTTGTTGGCCTTCTTGCGGTTCTTGGGCTCGCGCGGGTAGATGCCTGTGCGGGGGTGCGGGACGAGGGTCAGCTCCGTGTGTGCGCCAACTCGAGGGAGACGAGAGGTCGAGTGAGCTCACCCTTGAGGATGCAGAGACGGCGGAAGTCGCCGAGGGTGCACTGGAGCTTCTTGATGGCCTGGTTGCGAGTGATGTACTGCACGAACGAGGCAGGTCAGTCATGGGTTGGGTTGAGCCGGACGAGGCGAGGTGAGGCGGAGGCGAGTCGAGCTCACGTTCTTGGACGCGCCAGCCTCGCCCTTCTTCTTCATGCCGTTGTGGCCACGGGGTGCGACTCGGCCCATGGTGTGCTGTGCTGGCTGGGAGGAGCGAGCGGGGTGGTGAGAGGGTGGAGAGCGCTGGCCGCGCGAGCTGGCGGTGCCCGAGCTTCGAGGCGAGCGGCACGCGGCGAGAGCCAATCGGATCGCCTCATCAGCTGCAACCGCTCTCTGCTCTCGAAAGGCTCAGACAGCTCGCGCGCGCGCTAAAGATGGTGAACAGGGTATGCCAATGCAAAGTGAAATCTCTAGCCAGACCGCCCGTGCCCCTCGAGCCGGACCTCTCCTCCTCGCCGCCCGCTCCGAGCTCCTCACGTCGGCCGCCACCCGTTGAGCAACAGGCGCGACTGCTGGAAGCCCGTGCGACGCTGCTGCTTGGGCGCGATGCGACCTGCGAGAGACGAGGCGAGGGAGAGAACGGCGAGCGAAAGAGGAGGAGGGAGAGGTGGGCCGAGGGGAGCGAGAGGGTTCCACGGGGCGAGGGAAGGAGTGAGGGAGGTGCGAGGGAGGCGAGGGAGGCGAGGGAGGGAGGAGAGAGAGGGCGATTGAGGAAAGGAGGGGAGAGAGGAAAGTCAGTCTCGAGAACTCGAGGAGGGCAAGGGAAGGAGGAAAGAGGAAGTGCAGGGACGGACCTCCGGTCGTGCGCATCTCCTGACACACAAAGCTCTCGGGCGCGGTCCTCCACTCATCGAGGACGTACTTGCCGCCCTCGTGCTGCGTCGGCTCGCGGTCCTCGCCCGAGCCAAACAGGTCGAGCGCGAGCTGCGTGTGCGAGACGCCCGCGTACGTCGTCACGCAGCGCGGGTTGACGAGGATCTTGGCGATCGCGTTCGGGAACGCGTTGTTGGGCAGCGACCGCGGACGGCGCTTGTCGAGGCGTCGACGCTTGCCCTTGCCCACCGCCGCCGCCGCCTTGACCTCGTCGGCCTCGACGGGCGCCGCCGCCTGGTTGGCGCCGACGCCGAAGAGCGAGCGCTTCTGCGGCTGCTTCTTCTTCTTGTCTGCGGCCTTGTCGGCGGCGGCCTTCTTGGCGGCGACCTGCTCGGGCTCGGCGACGAACCACTTTGGCGCCTCGTCGTTGGCGCCCTTGTCGTCGTCGCCGCCCTTGACAAAGCCCTCCTTGGCGGCGACCTTGCCCGGGTCGACCTCGTCCTTGGGCGTGTCGGCGTCGACCTTGCCCCACGCGGCCGGGCCGGCGGCGTCAGGCTGGCCGGCGAGCGGGCCCGCCTCGGGTTTGACGGCGTCCCACTGCGCCTTGTTGGGCCCGTCGAGCGCCTCGACGACCTCGTCGGCGTCGACGGGCGCACCGGGAGCGGCGGCGCCCTTCTTGTTGGCGGCGCCGGCGCCGGCAGCACCGGGCGCCTTGCGGAGCGCGCCCGCCGAGTCGTCGTCGTCGACCATGTCGACGGCGAGGTCGACCGGCCGACCCTTGCCCGCCTCGTCGACGTCGTCGGCCGAGCCCTCCTCGATCTCGTCGTCGTCGTCGTACTCCTCGTCGCCCTCCTCGTCGTCGCCCTCGTCGGTCGTCGTCGAGGCCGCACCACCTGCGCCGGCGCCCGCACCGCGCCCGAGCTGGCCCTCGAGCGCCTTGCTGATGGCGTTGTCGTTGCCCGGCCCGCCGCCCGGCGCGGCGCCCGTCTCGTCGGCGAGGTAGTCGCCCGAGTTGGGGTACCCGACTTTGTCGCTCGTCGTCGGGGCGTACGACGCGAGCATCGACTGGATGAGGTCGTCCATGAACGGGTGCACGTTGCGGGGCTTGCCCATGCGCTCCTCGTTGTGGAGCCGCTTGGCCTCGTCGCGGATGCCGTCCTGGAACGACGCCATCCACATGTCGCGACAAAAGTGGAGCTGGGCCGAGTCCATGCACGGGCCCTCGCTCCACCGGGGCGCCTTGCCGTCCGACGCGGCCGTCGTGTTGAACACCGACTCGACCGACGAGTGGTACGTCAGGCCGAGGTAGTACGACTTGTGCGGGTCGACGATGTGGGTGCCCGACTCGCAGCAAAAGACCTGGAACGGGAGGTGGAGCGTGTACCGCGCGCCGCCGTACGCGTCGCGAGGTGGCGCCTCGTCGATCGGCGATGTCGACTTGGAGCCGCGGAACAGGTTGCCGTCCATGTCGCGCGTGCGCCACCGGTCGTTGTAGATGAAGAAGCCGTTGTGCTCCTTCCAGTCCATCGAGCACACCATCGACGCCTGGTTGACGACCGAGACGCGGATCGTCTCGAGGATGTCGTTCGGGCACGTGAAGCCCTTGAGCCAGATGACGCGCTCGAACTGGACCTTGCGGCGCTCCCACAGCTCCTGGAGGGGCTCGAGGGCGAGGTTGCGCGTGTAGGCCTCCTCGAGCGGGTAGTACGACGCCGTCGGGTCTTGCGTCATGGGCGGCACCTGGCGGATCCGGAACGAGATGCCGAGGAGCGTCATGATCATCTCGGCGAGGTCGCACAGGAACGGGGTCGAGTCGGTCGAGGCGTAGTCGACGATCGAGACGAAGACGGACGTCGGCCCGAGGCGGCGCGCGAGTTGGACGATGACGGCGAGTTGGTCGACGAGGAAGTGGTCGGCGCCGTGGACGACGAGCGCAAAGTAGTACAGGGCGCCCGGCCTCGCGAGGTCGCTCCAGTCGTCCTCGCGCTTCGAGATGCCGAACGGCCTCGTCAGGCTCGAGCACGCCGCGGCGGCCCACCCGTTGAACCCGAGGAGCTCGTCGATGGCGCCGCGCACGACCTGCTCGTCGAGGTGCATCGTGTCGGACCCGGTCATGAACGGCTTCTGGAACCGGGTCCAAAAGTCCTGCATGCCCGCGTCGATGTCGTTGTCGAACACGTCGTGCGTCTCGTCGCGGTTGATGCGCGACTGGAGGAACGGGTACTTGCGGGTGTCGAGCGTCTGGCCCGACAGCGGCGTCCCGAGCGTGATGCGCTCGAGAATGTCGGGGTGCGCAATCTCGCCGGCGCGCGTCTTGGGCTGCGTGAGGAACGAACGGTGTGTCAGCTTACGATTCACTCTGTCGGGCCGTCCTGCCCTGCGCCTCCTCTTCTGGGCACGACCACCCGGGAGAGCGAGAGAGAGAGAGAGGGAGGAGGACGCACGGTCGAGTCGAAGAAGATCCACTTGAAGACGAGGATGCCGACGATGCCAGCTGCGACTCGAGCGGCGAACCGCTGCCGCGGCGACACGATGATCTGCGGGCGGTGGGGGAACGCGAGAGCGAGCACATGGAGGAGGAGGAGGGGGAGGGGGGGGGGGGAATGAAAAAGTCTTGCACGCGATCGTACCCATATCCGCATCAGGTCCCCAAGGTGATCAGCCTCTAGTCCATAGAATAATGTAGATAAGGGAAGTCGGCAAAATAGATCCGTAACTTCGGGAAAAGGATTGGCTCATAGGGTAGGGTACGTCGGGGCCTTGGGCAAAGACAAGGGACCGCGGTGGGACTACTGTGGCGCAAGCTGCGGCGGACCTGCTGTGGACCCGAGTCGGCGCCCCTGGCCAGTCTTCGGACGTCTGGCGTACGATTAACTACCAACTATGAACTGGTACGGACAAGGGGAATCTGACTGTCTAATTAAAACATAGCATTGC